CCCCCCCCCCCCCCGGCTCGGGCTGTGTCAGGTGGGGGGCCGGGAAAGGTTGCCAGGCGTGGCCGAAGGGGGTGGAGGGGCTGAGAGGGGTGAGGGCAGCGTCCGGGTGGGGTGGGGGGCTTCTGAAAGGGGGGGGAGGAGGGGGGCAAGCAAGCGAAGGGCTGTCCTTCATCGCCCCCCCCCCCCTCCCAGGGATGGGGTGGGGAATTCTTGCAAGGGAAGCAACGTCTTGTGGCTGGGGGCAACCCTGGGTTTTTGGAGACCCCTGTAAGATAGACAAGATAACTTGATTGTCATTTCTTTTTTTTACTGCGAGCTCGCCTGCCCACCTTAAAAATGAAATTCTGTTACCTGCTCTCGAGATGTGTATGTATGTATATGTATATATATATGTGTATATATATGTATGTATATAATGTACATATACATATGTGTGTGTGTATGTATGATATATCTATCTGAATGACGTAGGGAAGGTATTGCTAAATAATATAATAATAGCAATCAATTGCAAAAGGCAGCTTTGCTTGGAGATGTATATCATATCTCATACCGATATCTGAATGAGGTAGAGAAGGTGTTGCCAAATAATATAACGATCAATTGCAAAAGGCAGCTTTGCTTGGAATGATTTACCACCTGCCTCCATACCTTTAAGTCCATCAAACGGCACTATCTACCTATGCTGGGTCCTTGGGAAGGACTCCTAGGTGGATGAAAAGGCCAAATCCACCCTGAACATCTGGCTGACTGTGTGACCGGCTGTCCCTGTCAAGTCAGTTGCAAAAAGCAGCTTGACTGGGAACGGTTCCATCCTTTTGACACTGTGAAACATCCACCTGTGCCTATGCCAGGTCCTTGGGAAGGACTCCTAGGTGAATAGGAAGGCCAGATCCAGTCTGAACATCTGGATGACTGTGCGGCCAACTGTCCTAATAAGCAAAAGAAAGCAAATGTACCAATAGCAGTAGGTGCCTTGGGTGCAACCCCAAAACATCTGGGGTGCCACTTGAACACCATCGGCATTGACGCAATCCCCATCAGTCAATTGCAAAAGGCAGCTTGACTTGGAACTGCTGACATCCTGCAAAGTACCTCTTAACACCATCAAGCAACAGCATCTACCTGTCTCAGGTCCTTGGCGGAGACTCCGTAAGTAGACCCAAATTCCAAATATAGTCTAAGCATCTGGCTGACTGTATGACTGAGCATCATCGGAACAAGAGACTTATTGGAAAGGAAATGAGATTCCATCTCTCCATGCAAAGGTCAGGTCTATAGACTGGGCTGGTAAGAAATGGAGTTGTGGGAGGCTCTCTCAGACCCCAAGAACCCCACAGCTCAATCCTGAGCTATAGATACTTATTTTCTGTTAGAAATGGAAATTCGAGGAGTCTCCAGAAGCAAATATAGTATAGGAAAAACAGGAGAGGGTGGATTGCTGGATGGCTGGGATGTCATTGTGTTAGTGTTTTAGTATGAACCTAAGCTCAAGTCTTCCTGGGAGTTAGAATGATACAAAACTGTCAGTCTGCACTGGTTATTTTGCAACTGCTGCTAATCGCAAACAAGTTCCTGTCCTGAGGATCTGATCTTAATTTAGAAGGCGAGGGAAGGAAGTGAGGAAGAGCAAGAGGAACATGAAATCAATGCAGGCAAAAAGCAGTTACATTCTGCTTTATTCTTTGGCTGAATGTGAATATCCCGAGGAGAAGGCTGCCTTATCTGGAAAGGAGGAGATAGTTGTAGGTTGGATTCTGGGAAGTTGGGATATTGGGGAACTGGAAATTTGGCTTCAGATCAGACTTTAGATGCCATGAAAGGTTTGATAAGAATCTGCATTAAAGGGCTTGGACTAATGATGCGGCCTGGAAATCTATTTCTTTATCAAATTTATAAGCCACCCTAATCAAATAGGCTGATTTGATGCCAAGAAGTTGCAGGTTGTTGGGATGAATTTGTCAACTGTGGGTTTTAGAAGGCAGGTACTTTCTTAGGGTGGCACATATCAAGGAACAATGCATGCTTCAATGTTTAAGGATATGGTGCCTGCACATCTATTTCTAAACATTTGTGCTAAGGTATGCTGTTGGTCTTGCTTGTGAATCAAGCTACTCTTGGGTGGAGATTCTGGCATGCTTCTGAAATTGTGTTTTAACACACATTGTTACAGCTTGCTTGCTCGCTTACTGGTTGGCATGGGAGTTAAAATCAGTTCTTCTGCCTATAGTCAGCTGCCCAATATGTTTTAACCAGATAAGATGGATGGAACTTTTTTTCCCTATTTTATGTTAATTGCTTAGTCCTGATATGTACCACTATTCAGCTTATAAATAGTCTAATGCATCATCAGGTCTTGAACTGTAACAGATTTTTGATTCATTCATGAACCTAACGTGTTGTTTCAGTATTAAAGCTGTGGATATATACTAATATAGCTGAGGTGTAACAGTTGAAGTGAGAATGTTAAAAATAACAAGAGGCCACCTAAATACTGTATTTGAGGAGTTGAGTCTAGCAAAATTAGAAAGTTTTCCAAGGATAGAAGATGTAACCATCACATTATAAGCGAAAGAATGATTTCTGAATTTTAGCAAGCTCTTAGGCCAATGCTCTGAAGTACCTTTAAAACATCATGCTTGGTTGCTAAAACATGAGTGGATGTTGAGGGGCCAACAGCTGGTTAAAATGTGCTTTTTTGAATCCTATGAGTGCATTTAAAAAATAAAACAATCAAGGACTTAATTAGTAAATAATTAGCTAGTTGAGTAGTTAATAAACCTATTTCATATGCATAAACTGAAGCAAGAATGCTGCAGAGAGGTGAACCATGGTAGGTCAATCAGACTGTTAGAGAGCTCACCAGTTCATGTGGTTTGAAATAATGTTTTTGCTGTTTCCTCTTTTTCCTTTCTTTAAAATATTGAGCAACAATTTAAATGTTTATGCTTTACTCCTTGCCTTCCTGAAGATAAGATAGTAATCCGTTTTCAAACTGGGAAAGTTTTCGAGAAGGCACACACTTTTCACAGAATCGCACAATTGTCAGTGCAAAATATTTCCATTTTAAAATGTAAGGCTGCCAGCTATCAGCCTCTTTGGGCAGCCCCAAGTCAAATGCTGTCCTGGGTGCCATGATCTCATTAATGAACTTGTGTTTCATATAATTATATTATCATGCCCTGTAGTAAGTCCCTACACAGTGTGAACACAGCCCAACCAAGCCATCATCTTCCCTTCTTCTAGTTTTGTTTTGATTAACTAAGACTCACTCTTAATTTTATCCCAATGATCATGATCGAAACCTTGATGTGATCAGATAATACTTGACTATAATTATTGCTATGACGTTAATACTTGGTGAAGAGCCTCTTGTTGTTGAAGTTACTTGTTCTTAGGAGCTGTAAAAATATAGTATGCGCCAACATTTCTCAACCTTGGCAACTTTTAAGATCAGTGGACTTCAACTCCCAGAATTCCCCAGCCAGCACAGCTCTGGAAGTTGAAGTCTATGGTTGAGAAACGCTGGTATTTGCTAATGATTTAGCCACCTAAAGTAACTTCTTGGGCAAGGGTGGCCACATATATGATTGATAAATAAAATATTTACCATCCATTTTCTAATCAAAATTCAAGCATCTGTATTAAATCTTAAACTAGATGCTAGTTAACCTACTGCAAATAATTAAGAGAAACTATGGGTAGTCAATGATGCATTAAATCAGTACAGCATAAAATCATAGAGGTAGAATATAAAAAAGCATCTTACTATATAGCAGTTCTAATATATGAAATAAATTTGATATTCTTTAAAATCTTACTGCTGCATCTCTATGACTATGTAGTATTTATACTCTGCTTCCATTTAGTTACACGGTTTTGGGTTAGAAATCATGAGTTTAGGATTGCTAAGGTTCTGTGATGAAAATGAACTTTAATATAACTTTGTTACTTTCAATTCAACAGGAATATAAAATTATAATTTTAAAATTCTATTAAAGTTATAACTACTGATGCTGACTAGCTGTTCTGAAATTGCTTTAAGAGAAAGTTGGATTTTATGTTCCTGTTGGAAGTAACTAATTGAACTAAATAATAACTAGTACTAATGAAAAGTAATATGCCCTTCCTTTTCTGACGTGTTAACGTTTCACAGGAGATGGTTATTTTTGGTATTGGTTTCCTAGAAGTCATGAGAATGCACGTATGATGTATATAGTGATTAGATTTATGGCGTCTGTGCCATTTCCCATTTCCCATTATTTCTGATGCAGGAACATTATTTTTTGGTGCTTTTGATTTCCTGGATATTGCTGTTGTCAGTGAATCATTTTCTCTTTGAACTATTCAGAATATAAAATAGCTTTACAAAAATAAAATGCATTTTTGTTCTGTACTTTAGCACGTTTTCATGATTTTAAAGGCTTTTTAATGAAAGCATGATCAAACTTGAGCTGAAGCATAATCCATAGTTGTCTTGATTGCATCGTGTCCTTTCTTGGTTAGCCTGTTTAGGAAATTTATATCATGGTATCTTGGAGCACTTTGTCCTTTATATTTTGAACTCTAGATCTTTAAACCATATACAAGTTGTTATTCTGGAGGCTTTAACAAATCCAAGTCACGTTGGATTGCATGGAGTTGTGCAGTGGCGTACAGTTATTTGAATTTTAATCACCATGTGCATATTTTTAAAAGAAAAATGCAGACTACACCTGAGGAAGGAGGTGAATGATAAATCCTACTGAGAAATGATAGCTAGAGAATTGGTTATTATAAAAGCTGGGCAAGTCCATAGTCAAGAGTCTTCGTAAAATCCACGTATATGAAAAATGCTACTGTTATATAGGCATAGTAATTGATGGTTTCTGAAAATGGTAACAATCCCAAGGGAGTTTACTTTTCTTGAATGTTGATGGTCTTATTATTTGAGAATCTTCCAGGCAGATTATTCTTTTAGTTAGGGAAGGCAGCTGGGGAATTCTGGGAGTAGAAGTCTACATATCTAAAAGCTATCAAGACTGAGAAACATAGCTCTACCTGGCTCCTAAGGAAGGATCTGTAGAGTTAGAACAGAATAATGTGATATTTTGGATGCACAATACCCTTGCTTGTATTAAACAGAACACAGTGAGGTTACTGGTCAGCTAAAGTTACAGCTGATAAAAATAACTGATTAGCTGTTTCCAGAGCCCATTTCCTTTTTGATAGTTTAGGTGCCAAGTGCTTTCTGTATTTTAAGATTATTCTAATTAGCCTTCTAATATTTGCAGTTTGGCAGTAGCCTACATACAGTAGCTCCTCCTTCCCCACCCCAGACTTGGTACATTATGTCAAGTAGCAAAACGTGGTCTCTTGCAGTAAAATAAAGCCTGTGGTTTCATCAGGTCTTTTTTTTTTTCTTTTAACTTCTTGTGCATTGAAAAGTTTCAGTGTTACATATCCGCTCACCCTAAGAGGAGTTTTGCAAAATATTCCAATGATCACACACCCTCTGCTCATCTTCAGTTCCTTGGTCTTCCTTCATCTCCTCTTGAGCTTTGTCGAGTTACAATAATGCCAAGTGTAAGTCAGCAGATCCTTGGGCAAGGGTATCGGTACCCCATTCCTCCTCCTCAAATGATTCTGGGTCATGAATCCTTAAAGGGAGTTGAGTGACAAGTTGATTCACACTCACCAAAGTGCTCCACTGATAATTGGGTTAGAAATCTGACTTTGCTAAGACACCACTCTTGACTGGACATAGGAAGTCAAGGAGCTAGTACGTTTCTCTTTTAAGTGCAGCCTTTTTCTCGCGTCATTATTTGGATGCTTTGTGCACACTGTCTCAAAAAGGCTGATGATGGAATAGTAATTTCAACAACTTTTAAGTGGCCTCTTCATTAATGTCTCTGTGGGAGAAGTTTCTGGGGCAGCTGGTGGGCTACACAACCTCGAGGTTTGAGATTAGCATGCGTTGTGGTCTGAACTGAACTTTTTTGTAGGTTTAAAATTTCAAAACCAGAGTTCGTAGCTTGTTTAGGTTCAGCCTCTCACTTGTCCCGTTTTTGAGAATTCGTGAAAGCCCGCTGTTCTTGTGAGAATGCACTCTTAAATTTTGAAACCGCGCTGCCCTCCGGAAGGCATTTTTACATTTATTTATGTTTGCTCTTTACACTTCTTAGGTTGTGCGTTTATGTCAGAACCCCAAGCTGGCACTAAAGAACAGTCCTCCCTACATTCTAGACCTGCTTCCTGACACCTACCAGCACCTGCGAACCATCCTGTCCTGCTACGAGGGGAAGATGGAGACTCTGGGAGAGAACGAATACTTCCGGGTGTTCATGGAGAACCTGATGAAGAAGACAAAACAAACCATCAGCCTCTTTAAAGAAGGGAAAGAAAGAATGTACGAAGAGAATTCCCAGCCGAGGTAACTACGCTGGCCGGTGCTGGAATTGACCCGTAGGATTCCAGAGCGTGTCTGGATCTGGGGAAGCCCCCTTGCTTCTTTCCAAATTCCTCGTCTCCGAAGGCTTTTGCTTCATTTGGGTTTTCCCCTGAATTTTCATGTTTCCCTGGCAGCTCGTCAGTTTGAGTTGGAGGTGCTGCTCTGCTCCTTCCATTTTCACGGGAAAACTCCACGTCTAGGCTCCAATTTTTAAAATCACCTACCTCTTGAAGGTGCCGGGATTTGCAAGATAGATTATGTGCAAAAATGAGTTCAGTGGATAAACCAGCTAATGCTGTCAAAAATTAGTAAAGAAATGCCGATGTGGGATCTCTCTGAGCTTGGTGGTTTTCTCGCAGACGTTTCATTACTCGAACTAGGTAACATCATCAGTGCCAGTGATGCTGCCTATTTGGGGTAATGACATGTCTGCAAGAAAACCACCGAGCTTAGAGTACACCGGGGACCCCCTCACTTCAACCCTGAGCTACAAATTTTGTCCAGATAAAGCATCCACCAATGAAATTAAATCATATTAAGCCAGGAGAGACAATGAATCTCTATGGAGATTCTCAGTCGTCCAGGTCCTGGTTGTCCCAAAGGTGGTTTTTCAAAAGGCAACTGGACTTTTGTTTTTCCTTGAAGACATTTCACGTCTCATCCAAGAAGATCCTTCAGTTCCATTCGGCTGCTTCATTCGGTCAGAACTGAAGAAGCGGCTTCAATGAGAATCAAAACATCTTCAAGGAAAAACAAAGCCCAGTTGCCTTTTGAAAAACCACCTTTGGGTACAGACAATGAAGTGAGGTCAGAGGAGAACGTATGTTTTAACCTGAGGCTAAAACCTGCCCTATTATTTTGTCTAGGTAGCTTGGAGATGCATTCAATATGCAGAAGCTTTCCATCTCATTTATTCTAATCTTTTACCAGCCACCTTTCTCTGTAGGCTCCTCAAGAGAGAGCTCTGTTAAAAGAAATGCAGGGTTTGGTGTTTTTTTTAACTTTGCAAGAGAAACAGGCAATTTCCAGCCTGCTTTGAAGAGTTGGCAGCTGCCTGTTTTCATCTTGCGTTGATTACATTTTAAATTAGGGATTAAGCTTGAGGATGACAATGGGGTTTTTTTTTGAGATGGAGGCGCTGCATCTGAGTGTGGCTTGATGCTGGAAGACACGTGGGAAGAGGTGGTAGGCCGAGCTGTGTTCATAAAAACCATCTCTTAATGTTGATGTAGCATCCCAGCCGCCTCCCACTCCCCAATAGAGTGCGGAGACAACGTCAAATAATATTGCATAAATCGAGCATCTTTGAAACGCTGTTTGGGGCAATATTCTAAATAAACAAACTTGGGGCTTTGTGGTTACCACAGCGCAAGCGATATTTTCCACTTCTGCGCGGCCTACCTTTAGAATTAAGAAAGCATCGAGCCTTGTGGCTAGAGCCATAAATAGAGCTGGATTCTCTCTCTCTCTCTCTCTCTCTCTCTCTCTCCCCGCTGTTCTTTGAGCTTAGTTTCACTTTAGCCCAGAAGCACTGTCTGCTACTTGAAGTGCAAAAGCTGATGTCGGGGAAATTGCTGGGAAGGTGGGCTAGTTTATGTTGAGAGTTTGGTGTCTTCCAGACCTTGGAAGCTGTCAAATGCCATTTTCATGCATTTATTAAGAACAATGGTTTGGAAGCCACCGTTAGTCTTGTGAGTCAGTCACTATCTCTGGATAGGATGCCAGGAATTCAGTAAAGCCTCGGTTACCTCAAACAGCGTCAGCGAACAGTACAAGAGTAAGTAGTTATGGTTAAGGGCGAGGAGGCCCTTTGATCATTACCATGAGTCACTTATTGTGTACATTTGCAACTGGAGTGGGGTTTGTTCCTAAGACCTCAGCCTTCCCTGTGGCTTCCTTGAGCCAAGGATGAGACGCAAGAGACTGGAGAAGATAATCCTGTCGTTACACTGTCCGTGGTAGGCATAGATCAGGGTTTGTTTTTAACAGCCAGACTTGTATCCTCAGAGAGTTCTGCGAGGGATTTGCCTGAATCCTAACCCCCTAGAGGGAACAGCCTGATTTTGAACACGGGTCATAAAAATGCCTCAATCGTTGCTCGGAGGTCAAGGTTTCAGCTGTGGATGGTATGATTTTCCCTGTAACGTGGAGGACAGTACATTAGAAGAATGTCCAGCTCTGAAGAAATGGTTTCTCTGGATTTATAAATTCTCCTCCCCCTCCTTTTAAAAATGAAAACATAACTTTGGCATAGTAGGAAAGGATGAGCCTTTAAAGCCAATAGTAGCCAATGTATTGAGCGCCTTGTCTCGTCCTGTGGTGAGACCGGGGGGGCTTGTCTGTCTCTGCAAGATTTCATGCTTTAGCTGTAGGACCTGGAGGAACAAATCCATACAGGAAAAAGCTGCAGACCTATCCAGGGCCTTTATATGTATCAAATACGTGCAGCTCCACGTAGGAAGGAAGCGGATCCTTTTCAGGCTATTTTTTTAAGCGGTTTCGAAATACGCACGGCTATCACGTTTAATGTACTCGAAGCGTTAGACACCCCAATCCCCAATTCGGAAACAAGTTCGCTGCTAATCATTTTGCTTGCTGGATCAGGAAAAACACAATCAGGCATTGTTGAGGCAGCCTATCCAAGTCTGCGGTTGAAAACACCGCCTGCCCCTTCCTTCAGATTAACCCTGCCCTCCAGAACGTAGCCAAACGGTACAACCTACTTCTGCATTTCAATTACCGCTTCTCAGGGAAAGTTCAAACGCTGCCCATTGGGGGAGAAAAAAAGATGTGAACTGTTTGCTGTCCCGTTCTGCCACCCCGGCTTGTCCTTTAACATTGCTTGCAAAGGGTCTAAACATGGTCACAAATGAAAATAATGGGCGAGCCTTTACTGATCCTTTCCCAAACGGGTGGCTTCTCAATGAATGGGACCTCAGTTGCCATGAGCTCAAGCTAACACCATGGCTACTGGTGGTAGGGACGGGAGGAGATCAAGTTTGGAGGTCGGGGTATAGAAGGGCCGTGTCAGGTACCGAGCTAGAATGTGGGATTAGAAACAAATATATTGTGGTTTTTAATGTTAAGGGACGTTTCATGGTTAAGTGTTTATTTTTACGCTGACCCATGTGCCTGCTCTGAATGTTATGCCAGTGCATAGTTCCCATGATCAGAGTAATGCTGGATAGTTCTTTGTATAGGCACTTAAAGGTGACATAGAACATAGAATAATTGAGTCACTGATATCTCTATAAAATGTATACACTCCATTTAGTTTTCTGTACTTCTCTAGAAAGCAACGTACTCTATTGATTGGAGCAAAGTAGAACTTCAAATTGCGTATTAAGCTGAATTGAGAGTAGTTGTGCATTTTTTTTACAAACTTGGTTACTATGGGAAGCAGACTCTGAAGCTGCAGGAAGTGTATATATGTCAACCTATGATTTTAAATAGGACTGCTCAGCATTCCTGAGGGGTGAATTCACAATAGCTGTAGCTTCCCCGCAATATGCTGTTATTGGAAGGCCATGCACCAATTTAACCATCTTGGTGGAATCTTTTAGTTGGATCTGAGATGAAAAGCACGTGGCTCAGAGGCGGCATCATTCTGGTGAGGCCTTTAAGAAATGCACTGTCTCCATATTTGATGCTTCATCGTGAAAGCAAACCTGAAGGACTTATGGTTGGGACAAAGTTCCAAAGTTAAAGCTTCAGTGAATGTTTGTGGTAAAGTTCCAAGCTCCAACTACAGTAGTTCCATTCCACCCACTCATCATATTTATGGCTACTTCATTCCCCTTCTCAAACGTGGCTCAAACTGGTCTCCAGACCAGGGCTGGGGACCCCTGGATTAGACAAACTTTTCTAATTTGTCAAGAATAGCTCTACTAAATGAATTCTCCCAATACAAGAGATCCAGTGTCCACATAACCTGATTTTCCCGCATAGATAACTGCCTATCGAAGAAAAACACTTAAGATTAATTCATCGGACTCAACTCTGCATTTGCATCAGGCAAGCACCGGGCACTGAGATAACATCACAAGTTGGCGTTGCGTGCAGGATTAATCGAGTCCTTTCCAGATGTTAGCAATTCATCGCTCGAGATGGAAGAATTGAGCCACATTGTAGTGGCCGCTGCCCTGTTACTTGTGTGGCAGGATAACCGCAGGTTGGAAAAAAAGAAAAAAAAAACCTCCTTGAATGGCTCACGGCTTTGCTATCTCCCTCTGAAAAGGATAGGGGGAAGTTAAGTTAGGATGTTTGTCTCACACACACCCCCGCCCCCTCCCACCCAGAGAGGCACATGCTGCTGTTCTTCACAAGCTTCTAAACTATTTGAAAAGGCTGTCATTAAATGTTTCCGTTTGGTTAGACTCAAGTCAAATTTCGGCATTGAGAGGAAAACAGCTTAGGGGACAACGGTGGGGGGGGGACGCGGGGGAGAAAGGCTCTGAATATTAATTGCTTTAGCACAGGGGTCTCCAACCTTGGCAACTTTTAAGACTTGTGGACTTCAACTCCCAGAATTCTGGGAGTTGAAGTCCACCAGTCTTAAAGTCGCTAAGGTTGGAGACCCCTGTTTTAGTACACATTTAGCAATAGCACTACGCCTACTCTAGATACTAAAAAAATTGGATGTGGACATTTGGGAGACGGTTGTTCTCGGACTTTTCAGAAGGAAGCTGTTGGTGAGGTTCTAATGCCACGGCCTAAAAATCACGCCATAATTTGTCATCCCGCTGGTTGCATAATTCAGATTCTGCTATACAGGGAGTCCTCGGCTTACTTGACCCCCAAATTTATGTTGCTAAGCGAGAGACATCGGTTAAGTGGGTTTTGCGCCATTTTGCAACCTTTCTGGTCACGGTTGCTAAGTGAATCATTGCTCTTCCTAAGTGAACCTGGCTTCCCCGTTGACTTCTCTTGTTCCGAAGGTGGCGAAAGGGGACCCCGGGACTCTGCAACTGTCATAAATGTGAGTCAGTTCACTGCCAAGGGCCCGGATTTAGATCACGCGACCGTGGGGACTCTGCAACAGTCCCCATTTTTTTCCAGTGCCGCCGTAACTTTGAACGGCCACGAAATGAGCTGCTGTAAGTCGAGGGTTACCTGTACACATGTGCAAATTTTCTAGCAATCCTCCCTCAAGTCTGCAAAATTGCATTCTCGGCCTCAACTAGCCAGGAAGCCGTTCTCTCTCACCCACCCATCCCTCTTTGCGCTGATATTTCAGGCCCCTGTTTACTTTCTCGGGATGAGATCAAACGTGTAGCCTGCCCTCCCGGATTGGAGAGACTTGGCTTTCCCTTCTAAACATCTGGGCACCTTTATCAGTCTGTGAATGGAACCCTTCCTCCCCTGAGCCAGCACATCTGGCTACCCTGGGAATAAAATGGGGGGGGGGAGAGAGAGAAAAACTTGGTGTATGTTTAAAGCTAATCACAGAGCAGATCAGTAGAAGCGCCATGCATTACCTTTCTGTGGGGGCAGCAGCCTGGCTTCCTCTCATCCGTCTTGTGAGTTTGGATATTTTGAATAAACAGCGATTGCGGAAGTCAGACTTGCTTACACAAGCTGTTCCCAGGTACCTCTTCAGTCTTCCTCACCAAACGTAAACAAGGAAGCATCCTTGTTATTTTTAGACAGGATATTTATATATATATATATATATTTTCAGAGAGCTCTCTGTCTCTCTCTTGGGCTTTTAAGCCCATTCATAACGTTTGTATTTATTAAGATCTCAAAACGTTCCCTGTTGTTTTGCTTTGTTTATCCAATCTGCAGTCTTCCAACTTGCAACCTGTCTTTGGAAACATGCAGTCATTTTGTCACCACACAACACATTTGTTTACTTACACGAGCAGTCTGGTTCTGCGAAGAATTTTATTCCAGTTGCAACGGTGAATGCATAAATGTTTAGGGCTAAGGTTGAAAGAGTAATGGCGTGCTTAATTCGAATTGCTCGTGTTCTGCTAGAGCTGCTTTTAAATTTGCCAACTATATTTGCTCTTCTCTTAAGGAAGTTCAGGTAGTCCTGGAGCTACGGCCACGGTTGAGCCCTGAATTTATGTTGCTAAGTAAAACATTTGCTAAGTGAGTCTGCCCCATTTTACGACTTTGCTTGCCGCGGTTGTTAAGTGGATCATTGCATTTGTTCAGTTAGTAACGCGGTCGTTCAGTGAATCTGGCTTCTCCCATCGACTTTGCTTGCCAGGAGGTCTCAAAAGCAGGTCACATGATCCTGGGATGCTGCGACCATCATAAACATGAACCAGGTGCGAAGCATCTGAATTTTGACCCTGTGATGCAGCAGTGGTCATAAGTGTGAAAAACGGTCATAAGTCGCTTTTTTAAAGTGCTGTTGTATCTTTGAACCGTCACTAAATGAAGTCGAAGACTACCTGTACACAATAACATCTAGCCAATTCCTTAGGTTCTCCTCTGGAATATTGTAGATGATCATGAACCTTACTTGGTGCCCTAAAGTATAAATGGTATCCCATATACCCTTAGTCTGCAATGTACTGTACCTGTCACATATTTTTTAAAAAAATGTTATATCCAGAAGAGAGAAATTCAATGCAGTGTTTACAGACTGTATCACTGCAGATTATTATGCGTGTTTTCCCTTGCTTGATTTAGTTTCTGCTAGTCACATGAGTGGAATTAGCAGTATATGGTAGTGATTGCCAAGAGATTTCCTAGTGCTTTTCTACCTGATGCTGCCTGGTATTCCAGAGCGTTGGGATGTATAGCTCCCCCCCACAACCCCAAATAATCTGAGAATCTTGCTTAATTTGGCTGTGTAATGATTGTCCTGATGTATAATTTCAGGAAAGGTGTCGCAAAGCAGACACGTTTCCTCTGCAGAGGCACCAACTGAGATCGAGGGCACTTTTTCCCCCTGCTGAGCGTAATAAGCTCAGTTAACGGACTAAAACACTCTTCTTCAGAAGAACTCCTGGGAAGTTCTGGAGCAGCTAGTTGGAGGTGTGAAAGGAGGGTTTTAAAGATTCCTGGGTGCAAAGAAGGACGGAATGAGTTGACATCCCAGTGACTTCTGCAAGGCGAGTCCTTATCATGGTAGAATGTTTTTCATCCAGCAAACAGGAAGCAGGAAAAGGACAGCCTGCTGCAGGTCAGAGGCAAAGGCAGCAGAAAACTGAACTCAGGAAAATGAGGCCCTGCTAGAGGCTGTAGTGGGGCTGAGAGCTTGGTTGACCTCTTGACTTTTTGCAGGACAGAGCCAGAAAGTAATGAGGAACTGAAGAGGAGAGCCAAGTGGAGAGAAGTGAGGAAAAAAACCCCCCAAAAGAACATCCCTTGCTTTGATGCAGCATATTTAATAGAGTGTTAATTTTCAATTCTGTCGTCTGGTGAAGCTACTGTTGTCTTCAGGAGTTGATGTACAAAGTCTCTAACTCCACCTCCTTGGATGGGAGACTCACCACGCTGGCCCAGAGCCAAGACTCGTATCTCACCCACCGCCTTTCCCTTCGTATTTTTAGACCGTCCTGAGTGACCGGCTACCTCGAAGCCTTCGCTTCCCTCCCTCCTTTCCGAGCTCTCTCTCCCCCTCATGTGAATCTCACAGGCGTGTTTGAGTCTCTGGGAGGTCCCCCTTGAGAAAGCGTATTAATTGGGAAGTGAGAATGGTGCCAGAACAGTGGTTGATAAGGAAAATAATATAATCTGGAATAAACACTCTCACAGCTAACTGCCTGAAAATTAAAACAGGAGGAATTCCATCACAGCTACAGCCTACTCAAGAGATTTAAAAAAAAAATGCTCTCTTTTGCTGCTGCTCTTGTGTAGATGGGCTGCTCCTTCTGGGGTGTAAGAGCTAGAAAGTGCCTCACGTACCTTTGGTTCTTTGTATAAGTCTGTGAGTAAAACGCACATCATGCTTAACATAGGCTCACAGGTGTCTTCCAGGTGTCTCACTTTTTCCATTTGACACTTGAACATTTTATTTATTCAAAAATTATGTTTTAAGCCCAAAGTGGTCATGAAGTTCCAAACATAATTGATGCTTATTCCTTCCTTTTTTTTCTGGAACAAAAGAAGCCATAATCAGTCAAATTCTCATTAATCAGCCCAGAGACGATATAAAGCGAGCAAATAATGTGAGGAAGCTAGCGGAAGAGATCGCCCCTGGGCCAAGAAAGGGAGGGGCTTTAGGAAACTAGGTTTGAGGGTCCTACCCTGACTTTCCATGTGTGTGAGTAAAATAAGTTGTATATGGTGTTAACTTCTCTTAATCTCGTTGATTAAAAGCACTGCCAGTAGCCGCTCTCATTTCTTAACCCCGAAGGGCAATAAGAGTGAAGGAAGAATCTTATTCTTTGTATTTGGTTGTCATCTGGCACGGTGGATTAGACCAGTTACAGGAGCCTCCCTCTTCCTGACCATTGTGGCTGATAATTTTCTTACACAAGCACCCTAAATTTACCCCTTTCTTGTACACCCGTGTTGAGTAGCCTGGGAGTATGTACTCAGAAGGTGATGACTCTTGTGCACTCAATTCTGCAAACCTTAATTTTGCTTAATAAGGTACACTTAAATTATGATTGGAATTCTTTTGAATGAAATGCTGCCTGGACAGATAGTTATTATATAACACTGATTGAAGGACTTGTAACTCCTAGCTGGGTCGTCATTTTTCTGCCTTACTTTAAAAGCATTTTATCCATCTTTCTATTGTACCCTCTGCGTAAGCCAATAAAACACCTGAAGAGATAAAGGGGGCTTGTAAACTACTGTAAACTTAAATTTCCAAACTGCTGTGAATTAGAATGCATTGCTAGAAAAACCAAGTCAGAACGTCACCTGAAAAAAACGTTCCAGTTTCTTCTTTCATTTCCTGGTTGCTGCTTTCCCATTTCATGGCACATTTATTTGTTTAATTTATCTGCCGCTCCTCTCCCTATCCAGAGTGACTTACAAAGGAGTGTTTTTCTGTCCTTGCAGGCGCAACCTGACCAAATTGTCTCTGATCTTCAGCCACATGCTGGCAGAACTGAAAGGCATATTTCCAAACGGCCTCTTCCAAGGAGACACTTTCCGAATCACGAAGGCAGATGCAGCCGAGTTTTGGAGAAAAGCCTTTGAGGAGAAGTACGTACAATTTCCAAAATAAGCTTTTAGGCTTCCGGAAGTTCTTCAGGCAACCCATAACCGGAGTGGTTTGTCTCTCCTGGTTTTACCACACCCAACTTATGTGAGATGGAACCCCAAAGCTACTAGACTGTCAAAGTTGGGTGAAGGCATTCAAGTATTTCTTTGAAATTATCTGACTGTAGCCCCCACTCTTATAGGATTAAAATACACACACACACACACAGAGCTTCATGATAATTTTCAGCCTTGCCCTTTCCCTGATAATAGAAGGGTTGACTTCACAGAATAAATTTGTTCATGGTTGATTTGTTGAGGAATTGATGTTTCATTTGGCTTCAGCAGGCTACACTGCCATAACTTGAGATGTTTATCTCTGGAGATTAATTTCGATCGCATTCCAGATTCAAGCTTTTTCCCATATGAAATGCGCACGGCATATCTTCAAATTAAGACTTATGAGATATGTGCACTCATAACCTTGCCTGCAAGCAGTTAGTCTTCATTACTTCCTTTATTTAGTATCTCAGTACAGTTACTTGGATGTCAAAAATCTTGTTTAGATGCAGTTATATGACATTCCTTTATACTGCTGTTACGTCAGTAGCTGCTTTAACCAGTTATTGGACAAATTAAGGATTATAACTGTTGTCTGCTTTCAGTAATTGTACATTGTTTCTCTCAAAGCCGTTCATGTGCCTGCATTTGTGTACTTCCATTCTTGTGGTTGTGGCTCTATAGGCATGGACAAAGGGCCCATTAACACTGATGGTTTTAAAAGCAATTTATGGGAAATAGTGTAATGTCCAGTGTCAGAAATGATGTGTGCTTTGAATATTTATGGCTAGGAAGCATGAGTGAGGCAGAGCTGTTGAGTGGATGTCTTGTTCAGGGACTTCCCAGAGCATAGCCATTTTAAGATGTGTGGACTTCAACTCCCAGAAGACCCCTGGGAATTGAAGTCCACACATCTTAAAATGGGCAAGGTTAGGAAAAGCTATCGTAAATGAATCTGATTGGCTTCTCTAGGAAAGACAACACTGGGTGAAAGAAGTCTTTTGTTTGATTTAGCAGATGTTTTAAGTCCCTATGATGCAAAAAAAAAACCCATGCCAATATATATATATCTATATATCTTTATCCTATTCTTAGGACTATTGTCCCATGGAAAACCTTCCGCCAAGCATTACACGAAGTCCACCCCATCAGTTCCGGCCTGGAAGCCATGGCATTGAAATCAACCATTGACCTGACGTGCAACGATTACATTTCAGTGTTTGAATTTGATATTTTTACCCGTCTATTTCAGGTAAGCTTTTTTTTCCCTTTTTTTATTGTTAAGCCACGATTTCCCCAAAGACAGATCTTGGTTTACCACTGAAACAGCTTTTTCCTCCTCCTGTTGAAATGGTCGATCTTCCTCTCCCTGACTTGTACAGCCTCAACCTTCAAATGTTCCTTCTCTCCCACCTACTGGCTTCCTTGTCTCCCGAATCTCTCTGGCTTCTACTGTCCGTTGGGATTTGTGGGATCAGGAAGGATTGATAACCTGGCATGGGGGCATAGTTCTGAAAAGAAAAATTGCCATGCCCCGTTAGAATGCCGATTAAATTCTCTGCTGCTATTTGAAATGTAACGGTTGGGGTTGAATGTGGCCGAAGCCAATTCACGGAGGGGATGTGACCGCAGGGGAAGTGGAATGAGCCACGATCGGAAAGGCTGTTTCCTTGTTGAAGTAATTCCCTACCTTTTCATCCCCCCCCCCCCCCCCAACCCAGCCCTGGTCTTCTTTGCTCCGAAACTGGAATAGCCTTGCAGTGACTCATCCCGGCTACATGGCGTTCCTGACCTACGATGAGGTCAAAGCCCGGCTTCAGAAGTTCATTCACAAACCTGGAAGGTGAGTGCTTCAAGGCAGCTGTTCTAACCTCCATTCGTGTTCTGGCTAAGCGTTTTATATATCGAAAATAGCTGATACCAGGGACGCTGTAAATTTGAAATGCCAAAAATTGACATTCGCAGGGTTAAGCACATTGATGATTAATTGATCGGTCAATCAGTTTAGATACCACTCATCTTACCGACTGATAGGTTCTGGGTGGGTTTACAAAATTATAAGTTTCTTCCAGGCTTAATCATTCCTCAGTAGGAATGCCCCAATAGGATGACCAAGCCAACTTAGAATATCCAAGAAGTAAGGGGCCGTGATAGTTAATACACATTGAAAGACGCATTCAGATTATTATGATTGCCAGGAAAGGGGAAAAGATATTTTCTGCTGTGCTGTCACTCAAAAAAGGCTTTATATGTAGGATGTTCACATTTGTGTTTGTTCAGCTATCAATGTATCTTTGTTGTTGTTGTTTTAGTTACATTTTTCGTCTGAGTTGTACCCGACTGGGTCAGTGGGCAATTGGCTATGTCACTGCAGATGGAAACATCCTCCAGACAATTCCCCACAACAAACCTCTTTTTCAAGCACTGATTGATGGCTTCAGGGAAGGCTTGTAAGTGACTTCTTTTTGCACCGTCTCATAACTCTGATTCGTTCTTTTTGTGCCTATACGGGCAGTCCTTGATTTACGATCGCCGTTGAGCCCAGAATTTTGCTTGTAAGCCATTGTGATCATAAGTCAAATCACCCTGTGCTGGACTCGATTTTTATGATGTTTGTTAACCGAGTTACCACAGTCATTAAGCGAATCCCATACTTGTAAATCATAATCCCGCTTAACCGGTGATCATTTTTTCCCCCTGTAAAAAGGGCAAAAACTCAAAATGCAATGACGTGAGCACAGGGCTGTGCAGCAGTCCAAAGGACGGGCCATAAATACCGTATTTTGAGTCTATCATAACATCAAAGGCTACCATGTTTTCCTGAAAATAAAACCCTGTCTTATATATATATATATATATATATATATTTTGCCACCCAAAAAAGGCACCAGGTCTTATTTTCAGGGGATGCCATCCATGGAATAACCTCACTTGCACGCGTCGCCCCTGGCTTTCTTTTTGGTGTCAGAGGCTTTCAGGAACAACTTCTTCTGGGGCCGGTAAAGCTTTCCTGAGGCCTCTGCAGCCAATAATGGAGCTCTAGATTGATCCAGAGCTTTGTTCTCAGCTCCAGAAGCCTTCAGGAAACCGTGGCCAGCCTTGCCGGCTGCAGAAGAAATGACCGAGCAAGGCAGGTGTCTGGGTGTGCGAGGCCTGGCTACAACTGTCCAAAGGTCAGTAGTAGGGCAGCTCCACCTCCCCATCCTTACTGTAGCTTAATTTTTATCCATGCACTCTGAAGTGGGCAGGATTAATTAGGGCTTGTTTTGTGGGGGGCTATGGCTTATATTGGGTGCATGTGTAAAAAAATCAAGCTAGGACTTACTTTCAGGGTAGGTCATATTTTCGAGGAAACGAGAGAGTTAAGCATCCAGTCGTAAGGCAAGGACTCCCTGTAATTGAAGAGTGGAAAGGAATTCAGTCTGCTCTACCAAAGCTGCAGAACCTCTGAAACTCCTTGGCTCTTCCTCTGAAAGCCAACAGGGTCCTTGTGCTTGTCCTAATACAACCTGCCTTATCAGGCACCTGGATTCAAGGTTTTGCACAGCCCTTCGATACGCAACCGGTTGAGTTTCTCTTTCCAGCCCTGTGGCGTTCGACAGATTGGCATCAGTAACAAACCACAGCAAGATCAAAAAGAGGGCAGGTGTGTCAGGGCCTCGTTGTGCAAAAAGAGGCAGCTGGGAACTTGCACGGCCATCTCTGATGCCAAGGGGTGTGTGGCCTCAGGTGCGTGTGACTTCCTTCCCCAAGCCACCTAGAGCAAACCGGTGCAAGCTTCTTTGAAGTGCCAGGCCTGCGATTGGCTAAAGCTGGTTGAGCAACAGGTTTGGCTCTGAGCAGCTCGAAGCTGAGAGGCCTTTTCCGTTTTTTTTCATCGGCAGGGGAATCACAACTCAACCTTCTGTTTGTTTTCCCACATTTGGGGCCTTGTAAGGTCTCTTCCTAATTTAAGTTTTATCTCCTAATTCAGCCCTCTGCAAGAATGCAATCTCTCCCATTTGTCTGAGGCTCTGCTCTGCTCAGCTGTATCTTTCTTTTAAAAGAAATAATTTTTCCCATCTCTCCTCTAGTTACTTATATCCCGATGGAAGAAACCAGAATCCGGACCTGACCGGCCTGTGTGAGCCCACACCCCAGGACCACATTAAAGTCACCCAGGTGAACGGAGACCCTTCCTTCCTCTCCATTCCTTCTGTCTAGTCCAGGGGGTTTCCCACACTTGCTAACTTTTAAGGCTTGTGGACTTCAGTTCCCAGAATGCTCTGGCTGAGGAATTCTGGGGGTTGAAGTCCGCAAGCCTTAAAGACGCCAAGTTTGGGGACACCTCATCTATTCCTACAGTTTAAAAAACAAACAAACCGGAAAGTACACAGAAGGATGTGCAGGGTGGATTTAAATCACTGGTTAAAAAGGCTTGATTTAAATTAACTTGATTAAAATCATAATTTTTAAAAAGCAGCTGTCATCTCTGTCCCTCAATCCCTTTGACCCGCTGTTGACTCACCAACAGTCCCAATATTGCAGAATATACAGTCTCACGCTACATAACTAAGCTCCATTTCACGCTGAATAAATGATTAATGTATCTTAGATAGAAAACTATTTTAGATAGATTTTTACTCCAAAAGCATTTGATTAAAATTAATTTGACGAAAATTAAAAAAAAAAACGATTTAAATTTTTAAAAAATCCATTTTTTAAATTAAAGAAAACAACAGCATTGATTTTTATCCACCCTGGGTCGTATGTGTGGAGTCCACATTTGGAGAAAAGGGGACTGAACAGGAGAACCGGGGAATCTCGGTTAGAGAGGACAGATTTTCTGTCTTTTTCAACGCCTGCACTTTGAAATCCTTGCAGCCATGATTTGAGAGTCACACCCTGCTCCATTATCAATAGTCTTACTTTTTGAAATGAGTGGTCACCAGTGGATTTTTTTTTAAAAAAAATGCGTTGCAACCTCTCCCCTTTCCGCGGCCCTTGCGGAAGCTGAGTTTTTAAAAGGCTGTTTCCAGGAGGGTGTTTTTTAAGATGTGTGTCCCTTTCTTACCCTCAGGAGCAGTACGAACTCTACTGCGAGATGGGCTCCACTTTCCAGCTCTGTAAAATCTGTGCCGAGAACGACAAAGATGTGAAGATAGAACCCTGCGGGCACCTCATGTGCACCTCTTGTCTCACGTCATGGCAGGTATGTGGGGCCGCCCCCCCCTGTCAGAGTAAACATGGCCCTCTGCAGCCCCTACAGAACGTGGCACCTGGCCCAGTTTGCCTGGCTGGGCATGTTGTATCATGGCTGCTGTTGTATCACGGCTGCTTTTGCACCAGCTTTGCGGAAGGCACCTAGAGTGGGTGTTCTTCCTCTAGGCTGAGTCAACCATTATGCAGTTGTGCTCCAATGTGTTTGTGCAGTGAAGGAGGCAAAGGTGTTTGTGTCTGTCTGTCTGTGTGCAAGAGAGGGAGGGAGGGAGGGAGAGAGAGAGAGGTACAACATTTGATGTGTTTGTGCAATGAAGGAGGCAAAGGTGTTTGTGTCTGTCTGCCTGTGTGTGCAAGAGAGGGAGGGAGAGAGGTACAACATTTAATTTTTCTTCCTCTTTCTTTTGGTGTCCCCATAAGGCCTCTAGTTATACATTCGGACTAGTTAATTTCCTACTGCAGTAGCAAGTTATAAGTTTTTCTCTCTCTCTCCCTCTTTCTGTCCCTTCTTTCCTCCCTCCCTCCCTCCCGTATGCCAAGATAATCCTGCCGCCACAATCCACGGGGTGGCCCTGAGTGAATCACGTGGTCCCGCTCTCTGTTTGCAGGAATCGGAGGGGCAGGGGTGCCCGTTCTGCCGCTGTGAAATTAAAGGCACGGAGCCCATCGTGGTGGACCCTTTCGATCCCCGGGGAGGGGGAGGCCTTCTGAGGCAAGGGGCAGAAGGAACCCCCTCTCCAAATTACGACGATGACGATGACAGGACGGACGAATCCCTGTTCATGATGAAAGAGCTGGCTGGTGCCAAGGTAAGACCGCACCGATTGTCTCCTCCATGGAAGTAAGTAAGACAAATTGGGATGGGATGGGATGGGATGGATAGATAGGAGGGAGGCAGCCAGCCAGTAAGGTCTTTCAGAACGATGGTCTGTACAAGACCCTGAACCTGCCTTCAGTTTGACCCCTTTAAATCTTACGAACCAAGTTTGCATATGTTTTCTAGCATTTGTTTTCAGACGGTTGTCAGCCTTCCACTTTAATTAAAAGTCTCTATTGTCGATATCAATGTCTATAATCGGCAGTCAGCTGCGAGTTCTGCAGTAAAATGCTGCAGTAAGTAGCCCTATCCATTCTGCCTGCTCTCTATCCTGGTAATGTTTCCTCCCAGCAGCCATGCAGAGCTCAAGTTGGCAAGGGGTGTGTGTGTGTGTTTTCTCGGGTTTTGCGGTCTTTTACATTCGGCCCCCCCACAGCTGAGCTTGTCAGTCCTGTCTCTTTGTGTTTGAGGCGTCCTGGTTAGCCGTGCCTCTCTTTGAGTTTCTTCTTGAGTAATGAATTCACGACCAGCTTGGAAGACGTAGCCTTTGCTGGAGCTGCCATTGTCTGCCTGTTGATGTACCTCCTTTGATTGGCATAACAGATGGACCCATTTTGTTTTCTGCTCTCTTGGAAACCTGTTAATGATTTCTGGGATCGCTGTGCCTCAGCAGAGACCAGTTCCGGGTCTGTGCCCAAATATCAGCAGGCCTGTGCCCTCAGCTGCTGGCTGTCCTTAAGGTGACCATCTGTCGCCTTTAAAAACTGTGCCCTCGGCTAGTCCGGTTCAAGAACAGTATGCAGATGAATCGGTGACAGAACAGGTCTTGTTATTCCTGAGATACTGTATTGGAATGAACAGGAAGGAAGATGCTATGGTTCGCCGGCAGCCGGTGCAGACGGCAGCGGAATCGGACAGTGGGGAAGAATGGGGACCAGTCAGGGACTCTGGGGAGGACTCAGACGAGGGTCCTGCGTCCAATGCAGAGATGGGGCCAGGACCATCTGGGAGTGGGGTGCTGCCTTAGGAGCCTCTGGAGTCTGGCAGCAGTGAGGCAGAGGACCCAGGGGAGCCTGTTCCCAGTGTGTGTGTGCACAGAGCTGCTAGAAGGTGAAAGCAGCTGAAGCAGAAGGAGCGACTCGGGAGTAAGGCTGGGAGGTGATTGCCCCTCCCATAAGGCATAAAAGTCAGGCCAAGATGACGAAACCTTTGCAGGAAGCAAAGTAGTTCGATCGGTTCAGAGTCATCCTTGAAGCTCTGTGTACTTCGGTTGGGTTTTTTTGCACTTCGGTTGGTTCCTTTTCTAGTTCATCTGATACTTCTGTTTTTGGCACCATTTCACAGAACTGAAAGGTGGGTGCTTATCTCGGGGGACTGTTTGAGATTAATTCCGGCTGGGAATGAAAACAATTCCCAGCACTGCAATAAGTCTTATTTTTTAAAACAAGAGCGTGAATAATTACGGTTTAGGAAGCCTGGGGCAGAACAGACGAGCACCTGCTCGTATCGGTTGGATAAAGATAAACAGCAGGTCTCCTGCTTGGCTTGAAGAAAAGATGGCTTGAAATGCCACGGTAGTGGTCGCTTGATGATTAGTCCTGATATTTTTTTAAAACGTCTTCACTGGATCTCCTCTTGGCCTCCCTTCAGGTGGAACGTCCTCCGTCTCCATTTTCAATGACTCCCCAGGCGGCCCTTCCGCCAGTACCTCCACGGTTGGACCTTCTGCAGCAGCAGCAGCGGGTGCCCAACCCACCTGGCGCTTCGAGCCCAGGAACCACTTCCAAGGTACCGGAACTTGTTAGACTGATGAGGTGTCCTTTGAAAAACGCCTTACCCGAAATGGACCAATGGAAGAGGGCCTTTGTAGCTGAGGGGTTGAACTGTGGTATCCTTGGAAGACGTTTCATTACCCAGCTGGGTAACATCTTCAGTGCTGCTACATGATGTCAGCTAGCGCTTTATGTTACCTGGCTGGATAATGAAACGTCTCCAAGAAAACAAACAAGCTCAGAAAGCGCCAAGGATTCTCACGCCATCTTAATTGTGTTGGGCTTGATTAATTTTCTTCAGTGGACTTTTCCACTTTCCCTCTTCTTGATAATTCAAATTCCAGTTGCACTGGAATGTATTTGTTGAGTTAAATGATAGCCTTGATGGACTGATTTTTCAGCCTCGCTCCTACTTCTTCTTGCCCAAGTTAACAGCATGTTTGTGGTTCCTTACAAACTTTGGCCTGATCTAATCATTGTTTTATCGGTGGCTGGGAACTTCCGATGTGGCCTTTCTGACACTTTGCATACATATACAAACATGAATGTGTGATCCATGGCTTTGATGATTACACGGGATTATAGGATATTATGATTTAATTTTAGTGTATCTTAAACCCCGGTGACTCGGGACTGCAACTTCTGGAATGCCATGGCTGGCCGGGAGATTCTGGGTGGGGGGGTTGACGTCCACGCATCTTAAAAGTCACCAAGAGAAACTGCTTCAAAGAGAAAGGTGAAAATATCACTGTACTTGGAAAGCTTTCCCTTACTTTATAGGCTGTACCCGGTTCTCTCCACAAAGACAAACCTCTGCCGATCCCACCGACTCACCGAGATCTTCCACCACCACCTCCTCCAGACAGGCCCCACGCCATTGGGGCAGAGTCTCGGTCCCAGAGACGCCCCTTGCCTTGCACTCCAGGAGATGGCCCTTCCAGGGACAAGCTGCCCCCCGTGCCCTGCAACCGCCAGGGAGAGCTCTGGCCCTCGCGACCCCTGCTGAAGGCTCCCGCTGAAGCCTGGGCCAACAGGGAGCTGAAGAACCGGCATTCCCTCCCCTTCTCGCTGCCTTCTCAGATGGAGGCCAGGGTGGAGCCTCACAGACTGGGCAGCACCCTGAGCCTGGACACTCCTGTGGTGAGTGGGGGTGGGTGCGCCAGGCTTCCCGTGGGGAGGAGGTGGGGGGGGTCTGATCCCCGTCCACGAACCATCTCCAGCATAACACGCCCCTGCTGGGGCACCAGGTCAATGGAAGGGACAAGTCTTCAGGCCCTTTCAGAAAGCCAACGGGCTCTGCAGCAAAGCCCTTTCTACCCCTTCTTTTCATTTATGAAATTGGCAAGGGCTATTAAAATGCCAGGCGCAAAAGAGCAGGTCCACGCATCAGGTCCACTTAAATTGGTTTATGGCTGCTCATGGTTACGCACAGGACTGGTGGTGTGGTGCGGAGGCCTTGAGGTGGAGCTGTCACCTCACAATCAGGAGGCTGTGAGTTCGATCCTAGATAGAGGCAGATATCCCTGCCCCCCGCAACAGTTTCTGCCTCTCCTCCTACCCAAAGTCAACGTTGGGAATAGCAAAGATTCTTTCCAGTGGGCAAAGTTGCTTGGAGCTGGACCACTGAGTCAAGGGAGAGGTGGCCCTTCTTGCTTACTTGGGAGGAGTTTGATCCTATAACTCCTGAGGAAATGGACAAGGCCATGGCTACTTCCTCAGGCCATTCAAGAGGTGACCAAATAGTTGGGCCCATGTGGTGGTGATGTCTTCCTCGAGAGAAGGAGCTAATGCACTGGCTCGAAGCTAACCCAAGTGATGCCTAAGTGTGCCTTTTTTTTTTTTTATAACTACAATAAATAAATATGGAGGCTCAATCAATGCACCTCCAACCGTACCCCGGGGGTGGCGTCTGATGCAATGTTTTCTTGCAGAATCAACTGGGGCTTCCTGCTGGCTTAGACAGCGAGCATTCTAAAATCAAACCATCTTCTTCTGCCAATGCCATCTATTCTCTTTCCATAAGGTAAGTTGCGTCCTCAGGGGAGCTCCCAGCCACGGAAAATTTTTACGACCGTTGCGAAGGTTGAATTGCCCAATCGATTACTCAAAAGTTCGAAACTCTGTAGAAACTCGTGGGAGAGAGTTTCCAGTCGGTATCCGATTCCTCATTTGGTTTCTGATCCTCTCTGTAGCGAAGGCATCGCTTTCTTGTGACGCTGGAAGGCCCCGAATGGGGCGGGTGATTTTAGGCTAAGCCGCTTAGGTAAATCTGGCTGCAGTTTTTGTTTCGTTTGGGGAGGTTTGCTAGGATGGTTTCGGGTGACTGGAGTTGGGAGAAACCGCAAGAGGTTTCACATCACGAAACTAAAATAGGATCAAACTGGATCTCAACAGACGGAGTAGCTTAACGTAAGAGGCTGTCTTAAGACAGTGTGAGGCTTCGTGGCCTGGTGTGTGTGTGTGTGTGTGTGTGTGTGTTTGCAGTCATATTGCCTGGTGTGTTTGTGCGTGTGTGCAGCTGTGTTGCTGTGTTGTCATTTGCGATGCAAGACTGGGCACATTGCAAGTCACAAAGTTAAAACTTTTGAAAGGTTTGACACACGGACCAAAAGCCTCCCCAACTTTCACTTCAAAAGCTTCATCAGCAGAGAGCAGCAAGCTGCCTTCTATCCCGGATTGCAAACCTGTTATTGTCTTCTCTCCCCCCAGATCATTGGTTGCCCCAAAACTGCTCTCTGGAGAGGCCTCTGGGAATGACGAAGACTCCGAGTACATGTCCCCTTCCTCCTTGCCACTGGTGCCACCTGGCTGTGCGGGACAGAAACCCGATGCCAAGCTGCCTTCGGAAATGAATCCTGGTTCACGGTGAGGGAGTCCTTGTATTCTCCCCTCCAGTGCGTGTGATTATGATTGAATTTTAGAGGTGTAGCTGAGTGGAAAGGTGTAGATCCGTGGTGGCACGCGGTGGTGAGAATGCGGTATTGCAAGCTAATTGTGCCAAATGCCAGCAGTTCGATCCTGACTGGCTCAAGGTTGACTCAGCCTTCCTTCCTTCCGAGGCCGGTAAAATGAGGACCCCGACTGTTGAGGAGCAAGAGGCTGATTCTATAAACCGCTTCCAGAGGACTGTAAAAAAATACACTGTGAAGCGGTATATAAGTCTTAAGTGCTGCTGCTATTGCTAGTTTACAAGCGAAATCAGGCTGACTTTTGAATTCCCTGCAACATTGTAAGCTGGAATTGTTTGAGGCTTGGCACGGAGTTGAAAAGCAACCCGATCCGAAGGAAGCTGCTCTCCTTGGTGCAAAGGCCAGAGATGCTTACAGACTCAAAACGGCGTATGGAACAAGGCGCCCCGTTGCACGAAGCAGCCTGTATGTCTGTGCTGAAGTTTTGAGCCGAGCGTCTCTTCCTGTTGCAGGAGTGGAATCCAATGCCTTTTCTTTTTTTTCCTCTTTGCTCAGCGTCTTGGAAGGTGAGCAGGAAATGGAGGGAATGACTTACGAAGCAATGTTCAACATTCAGTCCCAGGCAGCACCGTGTTCATCCGAAGCTGCCGGCGTGCCTGGTAATTTTCCTGGGAAATGAAATTGTGTTTAGGCTAGATTCATATTGCAAGAAGCCAAAATAATGAAGGAGACACAGCCTCCCTTCGCTAAGAAAAGGACACAAGCATTCCAACCAGTGCCTCCGCTTTCATTCTCTCTCTCTCTCTCTCTCTCTCTCTCTCTCTCTCTCTCTCTCTCTCTCTCTCTGTGCCTCATCCAGAGCCATTAACACCTCATTTTCCTTCCCCTGCTCCTTGTCTGGGGGAAGGATTGAGAGAGTAGGAGCCCAGGTGCACAGGGCATTATGCACACAACAGCTTCCATCCTGAGTGTGACTTTGACAGCTCACTCTGGCGATTTGTAGCAGGGAGCAAAAAATAACTGGCTAATTCTTCCACCCGATTGGCTCTTTCGCTTTCTGAGGTCTTTGCTTTCTGGGGAATGAAAAAAACTGCAGCTGCAAAGATGATCCCACCGTTCTTCCAGATTTCTATTTATTGATTCAGCCTGTGGCATTTCATACATGGACTAGCAATATATATTAACACTTCACCTAGATTAGTTATATATTAAATATATATATATATATATATATTAAAAAACCCTACGTTTGAATACTAATGTCTAGGCCAGGGGTCTTCAACCTTGACAACTTTAAGACTTGTGGACTTCAACAAGCTTTGCTGGCTGAGGAACTCTGGGAGTTAAAGTCCACAAGTCTTAAAGTTGCCAAGGTTGGAGACCCCTCGCCTAGGCCATTGTCAGATCGCAAAATGGCTTTTATATGTGTTAATGCATCACAATTTTTAATTTCTGTGCCTTTGGTTCAGCTTTGAGGTTTACGCCAGGGGTCTGCAACCTCGAACAAAGAGCCATTTGGACTGGTTTCCCACAGAAAAGAAAACCCCGGGAGCCAATAATTTAACAACCGGTGGGACCAAGTGGCCAACTCGACCTCACTCGCTCCCACCCAGTCACCACCTGCTCTGGAATATGGAGTGGAGTCTCCACCCCACCCCACCCCCCCGCCATCCCCCTTACCTTCTCAGGCCAGGGGAAGAGTGACGGGGAGGGGAGGGCCCAGCCGGGGGTGGGATCAGCCATCAGGGAGCCACAGCAGAGGGCCGAAAGAGCCGCATGTGGCTTGCAGACCCCTGGCTTAGGCTGTCCGCGTTCCTCTTGAAAACGCCCCCTCTCCTGCAGGCCAGAGGCCTAAAGGGGTGCTGAAAAGCCTTCCTCCTTCTCAGACGTAGGTGATATGGTAGCTGAGGACGACGTCCCCAACGGTCCCGAGGAGTCAGAGAACGAGGAAGACGGTTACGATGTCCCCCACTCGTCTGCCCAGCCCGCCGCCGCCGTCACCGCTCGCCGCACCCTGTCCGATATCTCCAATGCAGCCACTTCCTTCAGCCGGGCCTCTCTGGACGGCGAACTTCTAACAGGTGCTTTCCCGCGCTTCCTTGGGCAGGGGGGTGGCGGGTGCCTCTAGGAAATGGCCCTGTATTGCTCAGGGCGCCAGGACCCACAAAAGGAGGGCACGACAGGTTGAGAAACGGTGGCAGAGCTGACCGTATCTGTCCTCGACAAAATGACGAGCCAAAATCCCTCGGAGCCAGGTGATCATGACCCCTGACTTCAAGCCCCTCCTGCGCTTTTCCTATCCTGGCTTTCAGGAAGGGGAGGAACTGGCAGGCACGATAATTTGGAGGAGTTTCACTTCCTCTCCCTTCATCAGGCGCTGCTCGGGAGGCCTATTGCAAGGATAAGCTCCCGAGTGCCATGAGGTCAGCCCTTCAAGCAAGGCCGGACTAGAGTGCCGGAACTATGAACCTGTTCCATCGAATGACTTGTCTGTATCCCTTTTATTGACGGACTAATTCTCCGTCCTCCAGGCCCTGGTTGTCCCAAAGGTGCTTTTGTTTCAAGGGGCAACTGGACTTTCAAGTTTTTCTTTGAAGAAGCTTCTTGGGTGAGAAGTTAAAACACCTTCAAAGAAAAACCAAAGAAGAAAAGTCTTGAAAAAAAAGCACCTTTGGGGGACGATCTAATTAATTCATTAAAAACGGAACAGGAAGGGACCTTGGGGGTCTTCCTAGTCCAACCCCAGGCTCAAGAAATAGACCTGATATCATTTCAGACAAAAACCTCCGGTGATGAAGCACCCACAACGTCTGAAGAAAGAGACATTCCATTGGTTGATTGTCCTCCCTGTCCAGAAGTTTCTCCTTAATTCCAGGTTGCTTCTCTCCTTCCCTAGTTTCCATCCGTTGTTTCTTGTCTTGCCTTCTTCTGGTGCTTTGGAAAATCCGAAGCTTAATGGCCTTTAGAAAGGAGCATCCCGCTCAAGGAAGGCGGCCGGTAGACCTGCCCACCAGGAGCGCTTCCCAATCCCTCCCTCTCAGCCACGTGCTCCTTCCTTTTGCAGATGCCTCGGACGTCTCCCAGGTTCCCGAGAGGCCCCCGAAACCTTTGCCCCGGAGAATAAACTCTGAACGGAAGGCGGGTAGTAGCTGCCTGCAGGCCAGCGGAGCAGGACCGGTCCCCGCGGCCTCCCCGCAGCTATCCTCCGAGATCGAGAACCTCCTGAGCCAAGGCTACGCATATCAGGACATCCAGAAAGCCCTGCTCATCGCCCACAACAACATTGACATGGCCAAGAATATCCTCCGGGAGTTCGTCTCCGTTTCTTCCCCCACGCACGTGGCCACATAGCACGCTCCCCCCCCCCTCTCTCTTGGCCCTTACCTGGAGCCCCGTGGGTCCACCTACCCAGGCAGCCTCTTGCCCGCATCGGCCTGGAGTTGAGTAGAGGCTTCTGGAGGGATTCCCCTGCAGAGCCAGGCCCATCTCTGCTGAGATTCGGTCATCAGGGTTTTTTTTTTGTGCAAGGCCAGGTGGTTTGTTTTTTTTCCCGAGTGGCGTGAAACGGAGCAGATAGGTGTGTGTCTTCAGCGGTCTTCATGTACCTCCAACAGTCTTCATGTACCTTTGCCCGCCCATCCAACACCTCCCCAGCCCCGTCTTCCTCTCCTTGCACTTTTCTGATCGGAGAGAACTCTGGATAGACTGGTCACCGGTTTCCTTCGCCGTTAGAACGCGGGGAAGGGTTTGGTCAACTTGTCTCGTGCTGTGAATATCCAACCGGAGGCCAAGATGCTGAAGGTATCTCCTCCTCCCCGTCCCCCCATCCCTGGTGGTTTGGGATACTGCACGCAGGCCTCTTTGCTGCTGTTTCCCGAATCCTCCGCCGTCAGGTACAGATTCTTGATGAAGCCGGAGGTTTCAACGCCTACTTTCTCCCCCCCCCCCCGCCAACCCTTCTCTTTCTTCCGTCGTGTTCAGCGCGCCTTCGGAAGTCAGCCGCTCCGCTCCGCCACACACTGGATCCCACAGCGTGGTAGATGCTGGCAGCTGGCAGGTGTCTGGGCTACCTTTGCAGCCTCCAGCCTTTCCTCCTTCGAAGTTTCCCCCGGGCCGGGTTGGGCCGTAGCAGCCGTCTCCGTGAACATTCCTGGTGTTACGATGAACGGAGCCGCCCATTTTAGCAGCCTGGCGGCTCTTCCACATCCCCTGGTTTTACCTGTCAAACTCCTAATTAAAAGTTAACCACAAGCATGGTCCCTTAGACACTGACAGGGGAAAAAACAAGTGTTAATGTAGCAACCAACCCCTGGAACCTCTTACCTGCTCAGTAGTAGAAACGCAACCGTTTTGGGTTCGGGGGCGTCTGTGGAACAGTATAAAAGACACAACTCTTCTTTTTTCCGGCCTGTTTATATCAGGAACAAAAGAAAGTCTTGTTTGTTGGAAGGACGTTGTCCATAAAACACGCTGCCTTTGTGACGCCTTGACTTGAGCTTTTGATGTTACTTTTCCTGGGCACTCAGGGAAGAGATATGACGAAGCTGTTTTGGTTTTCTAGGGAAAAGTCAGCAAGGATTCTCTCTCCCTCTTTCTCCTTCTCCTTCCCCTCCCCACTTTTCCTCTTTCCTCACCTGCTTCCCTGGTCTTTCTGTACCACCTGCAGGGCGAGAGCATGTACCCTGGCATGGAAATGGACACCTCGAGGCCCCCTGCATGATCGGCTCCTGTGTTTTAAATAGCATTAATTCCTCCTCACTAATTAAGGATGCCTTCGTTTCTAAGAGGCCGGAGAAGAGAGTTTCCGTGGAATAAATGTTTCCTCCTCAGGAGGGGTAAAGTAGTCTTCTCTGGGCAGCAGAAGGCACCAACAAGATGGCCAAGACCTCATGGGGGGGGGGGCCCCAACCCCCCCCCCCTTGTCCCCCCCCCCCCCCCATTGGAAGTTGATGAGGCCAGCCCAATCTTCCTGCCTGCAGGTGACTCCAGATAAAATATGTGATGCTTGAAGGCCTCGCGGAGAGGGCTCTGCGAAGGAGATGGTGACGGCACCTAGAAGCACGGGGATTGTACGCCCTGGCTTCAAGGAGAACTTTGTTTTTTAAAGTTGCAGTGGATTTGCTTCCTCCTCCTCCCCCCCGCCCCCCGCCAGTTTAAAAATCGGTGGAATTCTCTTGTTTCTCTCCAGGATGATGGCTAAATCTGGGTCCATTGAGGAGTCACTTTCTTGAATTCTTTGCAAAACTGAAGCGGCTTTTTGTGTGATCCCGGGGGAATTGTGTTGACACTCCTTGCTGGAAGTGGGATCGTGGCATTGTATCAGCCCACAAGGAGAGGCAGCTCTTCTCCTGCGGGTGCCATGCCATGGATTAGAAAGAGCAGAGCCAGCCCCGCCATGCCGTGTAGCCGGCCGGGTTCCTCTGCATGCGTTCCTTTTCCTCTCCCTGTCTTAAATTTCAGTGGGACATATTTTTTGGGGGGGAAGCGTCTTTCTTTAGGAACCCCGTGAATGTCACAGTCCAGCGAGCAGTAGGGAGATACAGACAAAAACTGTTTCTTGGGGTTGTTTTCCCTGCTGCTTTTATATTCGACTTTAATCCACCCCACCTCCCCTCCTCCTCCTCCTTCCATCTCTTAATTTTGCACACACACAAAAAGCATTGGATTTATTTTACAGAAAGCCAACTGTATAGTGCCTTTTCAATAGGGAAAATGCTCCTCTGAAACTAGATTTGAAACTTGACTGCAGAGCCCTGGTTGCACCGTGTTGGAGCCTGGAAGGAAGGAGCCAGCAGTTGGCCAACAAGCTAGCAACAGTCACAACTAGCTCTCTTGAAGCTTCTTCGTTACTGAACCATGAAAGGCCAGTGTTTTCCTGCCCCGGGCTGTACCTGAAGGTCATGGAGTGCTGCTGGACAAGTTTTAACGTAGCTGTGGCGTACGTCTTCCATCATTGGTTTCCTTCATGAAACGGTGTCTTTACGGACAAGCAAAATCCAGTTGGCTCCTCCAAGGTGTGCCTGGACCGAGAGCGTCCAACTTTGGCAACTTGAAGACCCGTGGACTTCAATTCCTAGAATGGAATTCCCTAGCTGGCTGGGGAATTCTGGGAGTTGAAAGTCCACAAGACTTCCAAGTTGCCAAAGTTGGACATCCTTGGGCCAGAGCCTGCCTCGGGCCAATTTGGGGGGGCATTTTGTTGCCTTTGGCCAACTGAAGGGGGCAGAGATGGTGTACTTGCATTGCCTTTGAGCACTGTGCTTGGACATTTCCATTCATTTTTCTCCTGTGTGTGTGTGTGTATGTTGTGTGTGTGTGGCTGGACAAGGAGTTTCCTGTGGATTAAATGTTCAGTGCCTAGTGGACCTCTTTCCTTGTAAGTGTGGCCTCCCATGCAGTTGCATTGAGGGAGATTATAGCTTGCAGCAAACTTTGGAATTAATCTTGGATGGCATTCCCACCCAATGATCAAGAGTTCCCATGGTTTAGGATTAAAACTGCGGTCTGGGGAGAGGTTACACTAAATTATAAATTATCTTTGTTGGGTAGGAAAGAGTGGTTAACAATAAGTAGCTTTATTTCTCCTGAAGGTTGAGAACCAATGTAATATTGGTGTTTAAAAAAAAGAATCAGATTTTCACTGACTATTTTAAAGTTATAATATCATTAATATAAAAAAATATATTAGCAGTATTTAATCCTTTCAGACATGTAAAGAGTAAGAACAGAAGGTAAATATTCTTACAGAATAGCCGAGCTTTAAGATTCATTTGGGCTAAAGTCCTCGGTTTTTTGTTTTTATTTTGTTCTGTTTTGCAGATGCATTGTTAATGTTTTAGAGGTTATACTAATGTTATTTATTTTTTATTTTTCATTCTGGTAAGGGACTGACTGAAGAGCTTGGTTGGGGAGGGCTGGTGGCCTTTAGGGAAATTCATGTGTGTTGATTAAAAACAAAAAACAAAAGGAAAAAGTTTTATTTTTAAATAAATTTCTTTGTTGTAGCACACGGCTTGTTTGATGTCAACGTCAATTCTTGTGATAGGGGGCTAAGATGTAGGGGCACCCCAGTTTTGGGGCGGGGGGGTCTCCCAAGAATGAGTTTTCCAGAAGTCCACATCAATGAAAATTAGACCTAGATTAGGGCTTTCCAAACTTGTCAACTGGAAGACTTGTGGACTTCCAACTCCCAGAATTCCTCAAGTCAGCCATGCTGGCTTGGGGAATTCTGGGAGTTGGTGTCCACGCACCTTAAAAGTTCCTGAGGTTGAACAACTCTGTCTAGACTTCGCTGGAAGACTTGACGGCCCCACAAAAAAGTCAAATTTTTGTCTGGTGTATATTGTTTGATAAATGAGAGTGAGACCCCCTTCCTAGAGAACAGACCCGTGTGCAGCAAGAAGCCCCTTGCTCCCCCCGCCTCTTATAGCATGGCTGATTTAAAAACAACCAAAATCATTCCCCGAGATATTCCTTTTTCAATCGCCATATATACAAGAGGTCACTCCGGACGACTTCTTTATCTTCTTTATTTTTCATTTATATTTATATATATTTATATATATATATATAAAACCCTGCAACTCAGACACTCTTAAATTTACACACATGTCAACGAAAAATATATGTATATCTCCAACAAAAGTTTTTCCATTCTGGCATCTCCCGACGTGCATGTAAAGCGCACCAGTCCCTCACATTTTACCAGATGGAGTGTTTTGAAAGCAAGGTATTTACTGTATGGTAGGGGTGTCTCAACCTTGGCAGCTCTTAAGACCTGTGGACTCCAATTCCCAGAATCCTGGCCAAGGAATTTTGGAAGTTGAAGTCCACAAGTCTTTAATTGGATACCCCAGCCTCAAGTTTCTGAAAGGTGAAAATAGGAACCAGCAGCCAGAAGATCCTGGGAGAAGAAAGAAAAAGAAAGAGAAGGAAGAAAGAAAGAGAAGAGAAGGAAGGAGAAGAAAGAGAAGGAAGGGAAGAAAGGAAGGAAGGAAGGAAGGGAGGGAGGAAGGAAGGAAGGAAGGAAGGAAGGAGAAAGAAAAAAGAAAGCTTGAGTTTATGTCCACATAGAGATCTTATCCATTCCAAGCAGGGATAAGTTCTTAAGAC